AGATCCAATTAGGGTTGCATGCACACATAGGATTGTTTGTATAAAACCCATCACTTGGAGGATTTAGGTTGTTGATTGAGGATTCATCTCTTTGGCGTCAGTCAGTTCACGAGACTAATAAGTGAAAGGGGTGAAAGTGTTGTTGTGGTTCTCCGGTTCTTCAGTTTAGGTGAGTTTCTCACTATGCTATGTATCCCATTGTATATATCCATTGCTTGGTAGGATATAGGTACTGTCAGAGTCCAAGTATGCTAGTTGACTAGGATAGCTCCTTGTTATGCATGTGCTGTTAGAACACTTGGGGTCTTGGTATGCTAGATTGGTAGGGTCTTACCTGTTGGTCGTATGATATTGTTAGGATTTATGTTTGGTTAGGGTAACTGGGGAAGGCCATTTATCAAAAATTATGTATGATTGAGCAACAAAGGACTTAATTGAGAAATTGTCAATGGAAGGGTAACTAGGGAAGGCTAGTTACCAAGGCTATGTAACATGCTAGTATATGTTATGTGTTTATGTTACATTATTATATGGTAACGATAACATTGATCTTGTGTAGTTTAAGTTGGATAACCTCTCTTGGTTTAATGCCTTATTGCGATCTTCTTGTATAATTGTTTGCTCTCGAGTGGATCATCTGTTCGAATGTCTATCTGATCTCTAACCACATACAACTTTATGAATTATATGAAAGAACAGAATTTGGCCCCTGACAATTGCATGAAAGACCATGGGAGGACCATGACATTTGTATGAAAGACCATGGGAGGACCATGACACTTGTATGAAAGTCCATTGAAAGACTATGGCTGAAAGACCATGGTAGGACCATGGAAACCGTACGTGACCATAACAATTAAGACTATAGGAGGACTACATCAATGAGTGATTGTAAGACTGTGGGAGCACAATAGCATTCATACGTTCTGTACTGATATTTATATTATATATATGTTAATAGATTGACGCTATAGCCAAGGACTTTGTGTGGATGCATTGTATGTATGGTGGAATATGTAGTATATTGGGAACTCACTAAGCTTTATGCTTACAGTTGTGGATTACATGTTTTGCATGTCGTTCATGAGAAGAGCTCAGTGGGACTGTACACACGCATTGAAGATATTTATTTATGCGGTTTTGTAAACTTTTCTCTGATAATGTATGGTTTTAATTAATCAAATATTACTCAATGATTTTTTAAGAAAAGGTTTAATTGGTTAATCTCTTTTATGAACAAAAAATTCTTTATAATTTTTAGGACGTTACAATATCGAAGCATGGTAGGTAGATTGAGATACTTACTTCAAACACGGGCTGGTTTAGCTTACTCAGTTGGCATTGCAGTTCGTTATATGCAAACTCCAAAGAAGTCACACATGAAGGCTATAAAAAATATTACGATATGTAAAAGGTACTATCAGATAAGGGATTTGTTACAGTCACAATAATTTTGTATGACTAGTTGGATATTGTGATAGCAGTCACAACATTGATCAAGATGATGGAAGAAGTATCACCGGGAATGTATTGTACTTTGGTAACTCACCAATCATGTGATGCTTTCAAAAGCAAGAAACAGTGGCGTTATCCTCCTGTGAAGCTGAGTATATGGCTACATCTACAGCAAGTTGGCAAGCTGTTTGGTTACGAGATCTTTTGGGAGAAATAACTAGTTCTCAAGTACAAGAAGTGATAATTAAAGTTCAACACATCAATAATTGCTTTAATCAAAATCCCAGTTTTTTATGGTCGGAGTAAGCACATCAAATCTCGTTTCCACTACATACGAGAACGAGTTGAAGATAAGGAGATCACAGTCGAGCATGTCAAAGAAAAGGAACAAAGAGCTGGCATTTTGAAAAAAAGACGTTATCTAAGATAAAGTTCGTTGAAATGTGCAAGATGCTAGGAGTTGAAGACCTCTCAATTTCCATTAACGGAAAGGAACAAAGAGCTGACATTTTGACAAAGGCGTTAGCTAAGATAAAGTTCGTTGAAATGCACATGATGCTAGGAGTTGAAGATCTCTCAATTTTTCCATTCGAAAATTAGGGGGTGTGATTATTGATAATTTCCTGTTTTACCCCTTCCATAAACGATGAGGTGTAGGAAAGGAACATTCCTTGGGCAACATGGAAACCTAACATGATGATTAGGGTTTAAGCAAATTGGTTGCTTAGGGAACAAGCATGCTTTATATATGGCAACTTAGTATTCTAGTTAGATACATACTAGGTTGCTATTATCTGCTATATATAGACATCGAAACATGTAGGTTTAAATGATCAGAGAGAGCAAGAGAGGAGAGATTGTAATCAGTTTTGGGTAATTTTATGTAGTACAGTAAGAGATTATTCCTTTCATTCTCTTGTTTATATTTTTCTGTTTATCAATTATTCTTTCAGTAACAACCACTAACCATGACAACCAAAAAACATGATATTGTTTAATACTTACACAATCTAAGTCAAACAACCATTTAACCAACATAAGTTCATCTAATATGCATGTCCTTTTCCTGGAACTTTCTTGTTTCCCCTTCCAACTTTATCTAGTCCACCTTGACCTTTGTAACTCCTTGTGTTATGCCTTAAAATTTAGCACTTGCTACATATTATTGTTAGGTACTTCCTGCCGAGGCTCATACCGTGGTTGCTACCTTGTCATCATCATTTTTTCCCTTCTTATTTGGTCTACCCACCTACAAATTTAAAGAAATGTAATAAATGTAAACCATTACATATCAATTATTAGTTGATGTTTTGGGAAAAATAATGTTGTTAGATAAGTTGACATAGGCTATACGTTTCCTCTATTTATGGGATCAACCTTGAATTTTTACATTTCCCTGCAAGCCATTAGCACTTATGTACCCAATCCTCATGATCACCATATTTTCCCTTATTCTCTATCCTGCCCCACATGGAAGAAAGTACATGCTTGCAGGTTATACCAGAAATGTCCAATTTCCTTCAAGAACATGTAATATCCTTCAAGTTGACAACACATTAATCCATCCATGGACCAATTACTTGATACTTACTATTTCCACTGAAAATGCTCATGAATTCAGCCGCTTCTTTAAAAATTTATTCCATCAACTTTGTGGAAGTAAGGGTTAGTCACTTCCATTAATTAACTTGGATCTTTCCATCACCTTCTAAACATTTCATATTCTCTTCATTAAATACTCTCAAATGAACTCCAAAACAAGTGATTATTGGTTTGTCACTTCCATTAATTAACTTGGAATATAAAACCTCACATAACTTGTTCAAATGAACATCATAAACTTTTCTTCTTATGTAAGAAAGTATATATTGCGATGACATACTATAATACCTAAATTGAGTAGGGAATAATATTATTACCAAAAAATGAGATATAACCCATTTTTGGGGGGAATCTGACGTAAGCATTCATGTGCCTTTTCATTGAATCTTTTGAAGTCTTCCATAGCCTTCTCAAATACAGTTGCCACTTATAGCGGTAGTACACCTCCATAGATGTAGCTTCAACTCCTCCCCCTCCAATATAGTTTTTGTTTTCGTGATTAATGTGTCTCATGTAAAATCTATGCTCAGAATTAAGAAGGAAACAATTTGCCTGATGTTGGGTTGAACCCTTTATACAAGCAAGAAAGACAAATTGGGTGCATTCTATACTTCACTCGTATTCAAACATAACTTAAGTCCCTTTGGGTATTCACATAAATCAGAATTACCTTAAAATGTTTGATGATGCTAAACGTCACCAACATACCTTTGGTTATGCGAAGGGACCCACACCCGGTATATACTCACGAGGTCACTTGAACTCAATCCGCATATGATACATAAGTTGGTTCATTCTACTTGCAATACACAATTCTTATGACCTTTTAATTGTAATATTTAATACCATATTTGTACGTAATTACAATTAACATATCGTATCGTGGTCAAAAAGTTGATTTTATAAAATAAACACGCCCATTATATGATACGGAAAAGATAAGGAATACACAAAATCAAAAGCCATAATATAGGGAATATTTTGGAGGACTTTTCAATATGCTATAAATATACAATGTGTCATAGCACCCAATATCGTCAACTTTGCTTTCGGTGGACAATTTTTGTTTTATATATATTATTGTTATTTAGATTTAGATATGGTTTATGTAATTATAATTAACCAGTAGTATTTTTTTTATTAAATCATATGTTAACAAAAAAATTGCATTTTTCTAGATTAAGAAAGTATTCTAAGAATTCTGAACCATGATGTTCAATGGACTTTGAATTTGAAATGAAGTCCTATGTATGATGACATCTTGAGATGTATGCATCTATATTAATATATAGACTTATTATATATATGTATGCATGTGCATAGAATTTTCCATGAGTAAAAAATAATCAAATAGAAGCACAATCACAAACGTAATATGTACATGTGGTGCAAAAGTTTAGCATTTGATCTGGAAAGGTAAACATATGAGTAATTAATCTTAATTTTAATTAGCTCAATCACCAACACGCATTAAAACAATTTCTAGAATCTGCCAAATAATTTTGACTCATGATTGAAACTACGAAAACTAAAATCCCACAAGGCCATAATTAAATATATATGCAATAACCAATAAATTCATCAAGTAAAACAAAGGGTATAGATTGAAATGTAATAATAATTGATGATTATCATTTAATTAATTACTAATATACTATGTAAAGTAAAGCTAAACAGACAGTAACGTTACTAAAAAGAAGACATAAGATGTCAAGAATTTACAGATTACTTCACAGCAAAATAGTGCTTTTCCACTTTCAGCCATCGTCATTCATCATCAAGATTCCTGGTGTAGTGCGATCACGAATTCATCTGTAAATTGATGAAACCTTGATGGGTATTTCTGGGAATTCATCAATCTCGAATCTTGCGTAATCTTTTTGTAGATCTGTGAACTCTTGACACTTTATTCTTCACTTGAATATATATATAATTTCATAAAACTAAAAGAAGAAGAGTAAAATGAAGCTGAGTAAGAACAGGGTGGTGGCACCGGGAAGTGAGACGGCGGCGGAAGGTCCAGGTGGTGGAGGGCTGTAATAGTAGTAAGGGAAGTATGGCATAATTGGGTTGGGTGGTCCTGGTGTCGGGTAATTACTGTACGGTGGTGGGTAGGTGTAGTAAGGACCCTGATCGGAGTTTGGTGGAGGTGGGTAGTAGTAGCCACTTCCACCACCACTTCCACCGGAACTAGGGGAAGCAGGCGGTGGAGGACAGTCGATTGATGTCGGTGGAGAGGGTTTGGGAATGGACGGTGGTGGTGGGGAAGGCGACGGTGGTGGCGGTGGTGGTGGAGAGAAGGTGGGTGGGCTGCATGGATTATCACAGGCAGCACACATTGTACATTCGATTTGGTATTTGGAACCAATCCATGAGTTCGATTGAGCTGCAAACAAGAAGTTAGATGTGATGAATATGAAGATCAAAGTGTTGACTTTCTGATTCTTGACCACCATTGTTACAGACAGAGAGAGAGAGAGAGAGAGAGAGAGAGAGAGTGTGATATGGGAGTTCTTATGATTGAGGGGTAGTGAACATTGAACAAGTGCACTACTAAATTACCATCTTTTATTTGTCATTTAAAATTAAAATAAATATGTAAATGCATTAATGTGTTGCCCGACATAATAAATAGTTTTATAATCTTTTATTCAACTTAAAAGTTATATAAAAAAAATTAATGACTTGTTATAGAGAGATACGTAATTACGTATCTAACTGTTAGAACATATGTACAATTTTTAACTTCAGCTAACAGCTAACACAACTATTATATACTAGTTAGTTTTACAAACATGTTCTAATTATTTTCGAAAATAGCTTGTGTTTTTGTGTATCTATATATAATGAGATTCTCGTCAAAATTTAATCGAGGGAATTTATGACTTTCACCTGCCAGGTTTGACTAGTTTTGATAAAAAAATCATTTTGTTTTATTATTCAAGTTATTTAGTTACTTTTGTTAAAATCATGTTATGTTAAAGAAATATACAAACAATGATATTAGTTTCGATACAAGTAAGAGAATTAAGTGTAAAAGAGTGATCAAAATGTAATTCGATAGTGAACATGTAAGAGCGATACAAGTGATCATTTCGATCCAAGTAAGAGACAATTAGGTGTACTAATAATTAAATGTGGCTATTTAATAAATAAAATAGAAGGGGAGCGTCAAATTAATTCGATAGTCAACATATTTAACGGTAAAGTGAGTAAATTTGTTTTTTTTTGGTAGTATTTAGAAAAGTCAAATATCTTATCAACTTTTTTTTTTAAATTATAATTAAGAAAATAAATACATCAAATTCATATGTTTTTCTATTGAAAAACCATTTTGACGTAAATATAAAAGGATGGAAAATAATCAGTAGCGAGTCTAGAATAGAAAATCATCTGGTTCACTAACAAGGTTCAATCGGGCTGATTCAAGAGAAATCAGGTTCATCTGAACCGGCTCAACTAGAAAAATATAAAGTTCAACTTGTATAAAAAATAAGGAAAAATATCGGCAATAGTAAAAAATTGGGGGTATTTTCAAAATTTAGACATGAAAATTGACATTTCCGAGTATAGACATGCATTCCGCGGAGCTCCGCGGAATCTACTGTAGCTCCGCGGAATGGCAAAATCATAAATAATTTAGTGTATTAAAAAAAAAACTCAAGATCCATTCCGCAGAGCTACAGTAGATTCTGCGGAGCTCCGCGGAGGTGGCTCCGAGGAATGGATCTTCAGTTTTTTTTTTTTTTTTTCAAATCCATTCTTCGGGGTTTATATTCATTCCCCCAACTAATTATTTTCAAGAAAAGATTATGATACTATGAATTTTTCTTGACAATGTTTGGAATAAATGTGAGGTGGAAAAAAATTGGTCTTTTAATTAGAGATCATTACATAAAAGAATAATTGGAGGAGTTTTTTTTTTAAACTGAAGATCCATTCCTCGGAGCTACCTCCGCGGAGCTCCGCGGAATCCACTGTAACTCTGCGGAATAGATCTTGAGTTTTTTTTTTTTAATACACTAATTTATTTACGATTTTGCCATTCCGCGAAGCTACAGTAGATTCCGCGGAGCTACCTCCGCGGAATGCATGTCTATACCCGGAAATGTCCATTTTCATGTCTAAATTTTGAAAATATCCCCCATTTTTTTTTTACTATTATCAGTATTTTCCCAAAAAATAATGGTGAAAAAACGTAGCTCAAAATGGTAATTCCTTAAAAAACCAACTTAAACTTACAGTAATGTCGGTATCAGACATCAATAAGTTTTATGGTGTGGAAGAGTGAAAAACAAATCGTGTATTTATAATGAAAAACCTCTCACTGTTTTTTTTTGGAGTCGATGTAAGACTTCTTCATGCCACCAAGTATTATAGTATGTCATTTATTGTCACACTATAAAGTAGGTCTTAATATCTATCTTTTTCCTTTTTTTTTTTGCCAAATTCTAAAAGGTAGGTCCTTTATATTTTATAAGGTACTAGTGTAAAACTCGTGTATTATACGGGTTGACTAAAAAACAAATTAAATATTAAAATGTAAACAATAAATATTTTTTAAAATAAAATTTTTAAATGAGAAATAAAGAAATGTATTAATTGCAATTTAACATCATATTTATAACATTTAATACTTTACATATATAAATATATAAATATTATGTAGCTTTTTAATTTTAAAATTTGAAAAACCTAAGAATTGACATGTGTATATTATTTATTTCAAAAATATCACAAAATGATAAGTGTCAAAACTCATGAAAGATTGACATTTGGCAAAATAGATCTTTATTTATTATAGTTGATGTCATAATATTTTTGGTATATATTTTGTAGTATGTTTTGAAAATTTAGGTGGGTCAAAGGATCCATCTTATCATAATGTAAACTCGGTCACCGAAAATAATCCAAGATTGTCACCGAAAATAATCTGTGATTTGATTGATAACTGGCTAAATATTTAGGGAACTTCAAGGAGGATATTACATACATTTTCCTCTGGTTTCGATAATGACATCTTCAACTACTCAATATTCGGCTTCGAAACTAGATCAGAAGATAGTAGCTTGTCTTTTTTAAGATGTTTTTAGGATATGATATTATTTTTGAAAAGATAAATTAAATATTTTCCTACTTTTTGTTCCTACTATCTTCCTATCAATTTTAGATGGTAACAAGTATTATTAAATTTGATTGAGATGTTAAATTTGTACACTTGTCATCATCTTAAACAGATAGGAAGAAAAGTAAGAACAAAAAGTAGAAAAATATTTAATTTCTATCCAAATGTTAATTGTAGTGAACCAAGCCGGACACACCGGGCAACGTTAATGTAAGCACTAAGTTGAAGCAAAAAAAATAGGAATAAAATGTAAATTGTAGTTCAATGTGCCTTTAATGTAGTAGATGATAAGTTTAAAAACATACATGTTAAATAGCATAAGTACTAAAAAATTCATTGAATTACTGAGTTACCCATATCATAATGCGATAAAAGTGAGCCATTGAAACTGGATATATGACTCGTATGGTTCTCGTGTTATGTCTCTACCTCCTGCGAAACCAAAAGCACAAAACAACGAATACTCACAATAGCATGCATAATTTCTCAGTGGCCCACTGCAAAACATAAAATGTCACAAAAACGACAACGTATTTCATAAAAAGCAATTCCGAAGTAGGGTCCATATTTTGTAGTAACCTTATTCAATATCTAGCTATTTTGTGACATAAGACGTTCTTTAGCTATTTTTTTGATAAATCTTAAAGATTACAATTTACATGGTCACATTTGTTATTTTCCCAAATTTTTAGTAGGCGTGTTTTTTTTTTTTTTTTTTTTTTTTTTTTTTTTTTTTGCTAAGTTGTGAGTTGTAGGGGTCGGCAAATTTTGACTCCTTATGTGTACAATGCATTCACATTGGACTTCCTGTATCAAGTAAGCAATCAATTCACACGTGGTAATTTAAGTCGGTTGTGTTGATAACGTTGGGCAGGAGTGCCCCATAAAGACAGAAAAAAAAAATGAAATCGCGTTTTTTGTAAATATAATTCATGAAATCACGTTGCAATTATCGCATAATGTATTTTTAATTATCATTTATATATTATTATTGTTTCATTATATCACATTATGTATTTTAATTATCATTTATATATTATTATTGTTTCATTATATCACATTATGTATTTTTTTTATCATTATATATTATTATTGTTTCATTATATCACATTTGTATTTAACTATTATTTATATATTATTATTGTTTGTAATGATTGATCTTCACACAAATGAGATATTGGATACTATTATATTATTATCATTATTATTATTTAAAACACAGCTCATCATATCTAGTTCATCATATCTGATTTTACTTGACACTTTATCATTTTTATCGTCAAATGAATGTGTTTTTTTTTCTTTATAAGTCTAATTGTGTAAATATTAAAAGCAAAGACAAAAAAAAAATCTAAATTCGAGGAAGTCGTAAATTCCTAAAAGTGTTCAAAAATTTTCACTTTCTTGACTAAACTTCTCACACTTTTAAGTTTATTTTTATTTTTAGATTCCGATCGTGATTATCAAAAGCAATTTTATGATTTATGTTGAAACTATTTATTCGGACACTATACATAATTGACAAAAGTAGCCCTTAAAAGAATGAGGATAAAAAAGGAAAGGGGGAGAATTAAGAGGGTAATGACCGACCACTCAAAAAAACAACTTTCCAGGCTGTTTTGGTGAAAATATTTCAATGCATTCAACCAATTTTGTTAAATTACATAATGATCCCTTTAGTTTTTGTCAAATTCACTTATTGTTATTGAGTTCACACTCAGGATGACTCACCTCAACACCACTTTTATGGCACTCCAAATCCATACTACAGCTGTAAAGCTAGTCACGTGCCACGCACGATTTTAAGATTTATTTAAGGATAACTAAACTAATTATTATAAAAAATGTAATTAACAAAATGATCATATTTAGTTCTTTGTTTAAAAATAAATAATTTGTCTGAAACATGATATTGTGGAGTAATAAAGATTGTTTCAGAGTTAGTAAGATTTAACGTAAATATAGTCTGATATCTAGCATACCAAAATTCAGATTCGTTCCGGATTGGTGAGACCCGACGTAAAGTTATTCCGAACAATTGCTCTAGACTAGTTCGTAATGGCTTCTTCCATACTTACTTTTCATTTTCATTAACAACATCATCCCCTCTTAAAGAAAATTCTAATAACTCTACTCTAGGTATATATAATTGTATTCGGCGCCTATTCGTCAAAATGGTGACGTATAAGGGTCTTATATCGTAATTTACTTTGTTATTTATACATTTTTAGATTTTTATAAATATGAGCCCAAAACAAAACATCTCAATCACCGTTTCAGAATAATTCGTCGTATTCCATATGTAAATATGTGTTTCACATTTGTTGTGTA